GATACGGAAATAAGAAAACTGCCAATCTGGTGGCAAAAAAATGCTTAGATGTTAGTGGAAATTATGTAGAAAAATGACTTGGGTGTGAGTTGGAAATATTTTGTTCAAATAAAGAATTTTTTGGAAAAAATTTGGTTTGCGCAATGAAATTCGAACACGTCCTGCTACTTTTTATGACAGAAATAAAAAAAAACTGCCAATCCGGTGACAAAAATAGTTAGATGTTAGTGGAAACTATGTCGAAAAATGATTTAAGTTTGCGTTAGAAATATTTTGATCGGATAAAGTTTTAGAAAAAATTCGGTTTATATTTGACTACCCCTTACATATGTAAAATTCGTCTTCGTTAATCCGGAGCGACTTGTTAAATCGTGAAATTAACGAATGACCACACGCTGGACAATAAGAGAATGTAAAAGGGAAAAGAGAAAAAAAACTTACATTCAGTAACAAATACTCCGCCGTACCATTGTACCATCGCGGAAAATTCAGCTTCTCAGCAGCATTGATCATGTAACGCGTTCTATTCAGCACACAGAGACTGTAGTTGCTCCAGAACACGCCGTCCGAGTTCTGGTACCACTCGCCGTTTGCCAGACAGATCTTGCTGGCAACCGCCAGTGCTCTCAGATTCTCACTCGCCAGATCGGTGTATCCCATAATCGAGGTAGGTGGACAGGGCAGGGTCGCTGTGCCCGGTGCATTGGTGGGCGACCAGCAGAGCAGATCATCGAAAGTCGCCGGACATTGATGAATATTCGTTCCATTGCCCTCGTTGATGGTGATATTCGTTTCTGCAAAATTATGATTCTTTTTTTAACAATTTTTATCGGTAATATTGTTGCTGGATCGTCAGATGAGCCGGTTCCGGCGGCGGCATCCGATATCATACCGTCAAATATTAACACACCTATTTTGTGAATATTCTTGATATAATTGTAATAATGATTGATGGTATGATAATAATGATTGTTTAATTTTATTAGTCTGAAAAAAATGCCATGCTACAATCGAGTGGACTATATATATAATCAATTACTTGTCATTTTTAATTAAATTTTTTTTTGTGTCGGATTTGAAGGAATTTTTCAAACTATAAAAAAGTTGAGAAATTTTTATCTAGTAAATATGTACGAGAGAGCATTTGTTTCAACAAATACGTATCTTAATTTCATTAAGCAATTGTCTACCCAGAATATAAAGTGAGGCTTACCTTCCTTAAGAAGCTGCTCGCATTTGGATTTTTGATCGTATAAAAAACGATCCATCTCGGCATCGCCCATTCTAATGCTAAAGAAGCAACACGATTAAATCTGTTATTTAGATGTTGTTTCTGATTCTACGATTTCGACAAAATTTTTTCTCTGTCTCTCTCTGTCTCTTCCGCCATTCATTCCATTCATGATACAAAGAACTATAATAATCTATGCATCGCGATTGCAAAAAATATGACACATCGTATTAGTCCTTTACATTATTATTTAAATCAAAGCATTATTATTTAAATTAAAGTCACGCGCATATATTGTATGATTAATAACACGTAACGCTACAATCAATTAAAATAAACGTACGTAAAATATATTGTGAAAAAAATCTTTCCCCAAACATATCCGATTTTTATCGGATAATTTTATTATTATTCTCAATGTTGCATTTTTTTTTATGACGTGATAAATTTTATTTGCTTATTATTAGAATTTTCGATGCCGTTTGTATAAAATACTACAATTATAAACCACGAATAGACTATTAATAAATCGTCTAGAAAGAGTTTTTAAGAAGAGTTCTATAGATAATTTTGAATTATAATCGTGTGTAATCCTGATGTTTCAACTTTTTGAAAATTTTTCTGAATCTCGTATCTCTTACGTCAATGATGAATCTTGGATCAATTTTAGACAATGACGTTTGTATCATGATAACGGAATCTTATCCGTTACATATCGTTGGACTTGGGATAGAATGTAGGATGAAACCGCGGCTTTCTCTCATTGAAAAAAAAAATTTCACCAATCGAACAATAGCGACAAATTTTTATCGTTTCGATATTATCGAGAAAAACGCAAATAAGATGCATAAATATAAAACCTATTATTTCTTTCCGTATTCTTATGCTATTATCGGTAAACCGTAATTTCTTTACTGTATTACTGTGTGTATCTCTCCAAATAATACCAAACCATTCTTTACTTTCTTTGGGCTATATCTGACAATGAACCATTAATCTCTTTATCATCGTGATTTATGCAACATATATTTCGCTTTATCTCGCCTGCAATTTTATTTTATTACGATCGCAATAATTTTTTTGTCGGGACTACTTACGATAACAGCTGCGCTGTTGCTTTTCTTCAGAATATACATCTACGTGTTCACGCGATCGCGGATCTTCTGAAACTTTGGCAAGAGAAAAGACACCGTAAAAATCGGGCGGCTGCGCATTGTACGATCACACATGCACGTGTATGATATTTTCCGCCCCTTCCGAACCTTTCTCTTGTAATGACGTAGGAGGCGAACTTGAGTAAATATACATATAGGGCGAATCAATCGTCTGCCGAGCAAACGTGTCTGATTGCACCTGAGTAAAAATTTTGGAATTTTTAATTGCGATTGTATTGTAAAATTTACAATTTTAGTATTTAATTCTTTGCTCTATTTAAAAAATACTTGCAATAAATTATATTTTAAGTAATATTTAAATAATATATAAATTAAAAAAATGTTTGATTTAATTTAGTAAATAAAAATGGCGTGTATTACATTGAGTTAAGCAAGTGTAATTTTATCTAAATAAATACTAATAAATTTACGTAATTAATAAACAGTCGAGATGAAATCAGTGGTAGAACAATAATCACAATTTTTCGATAAATTGGTTGAAAGACAAAAAGAATTATTATGTATTAATGATTTATATTTATGACATCAAAACTTATTTGAGTTAATTAAAGAAAACGTATTATATATATTGAATGAAATTTTAACAACCGAATTTATTGCATTGTCAAACTTTTTTGATTATTATAAATTTTGTTATCAAATTTTTATAATGCAACAAATATTTACGAAATTTCAATTTTTAATGTATTTTCCATCATTTTACCGAATTTTCATCATTCTTTTTATAACGCATATCACTTGATTTTTTCGCTTATGATGAATATCCATCATGCTATCAGTATAATGTTTTTGTGAGAATACAAACAAATCACTTACTTGGTAAATATAATCCATCAATGACTAATTTCTGAAAGACCTTTTCGATTGTAATCGTCGTCAATATTGGCTCAAAGGCTAAAGTTGACGGTTTGAATTTCTAATCGTATTACCTGATTTTGTCCTCACTTCCGCATAAACTATATAAAATATAAGTAATATCTCACGAAATATAATAGAATGTCACGAAATGTAATTTTCAAAAATATGCTTTTCGATCAATATTAATTATTTTTAGCTAATATAAAAGCAAATTTAGTAATAAATATTAATTTTAATTGATTAATTTACACATACAAAATACTAAAAATATTACATTCTCACAATTTTTGTTAGAAAAGATGAAAAGATTATGTATGTGTGACAAGATCAATGACAATGTCAAAACAGTGCATCCTTGACGCGTCTACGTATCAAACGATCGATGAGTTTATAATTTACGATATGTCAAATGTATTTCAATTTTTCTCTTAAGAGAGAGAGACGCGTATTTTTTCATAAAATATTTTATTATATTTAAAAAAATTTTGTGAATATATATTTAAAAAAATATTTTTTTTTTTTCCTAAGATTTTTTCTTCATGACATCTATATATTGCTCGTCGTGCGACTAGATTTTCATTTAACGTATATTATAGCGTATGTTCAATAAGGAAATGGGATAATATTCATGGGAAATAAAGCGAATAACGTGTGATGTATTCAAAATTCATTTTATGTTAAATCCGTGTAGGCGACACGTCATAACAGAGTATATCTTTCTAGGATCAGTTCGGAGAACATGCACACATACACACACACACACATACCCATACACACAAAACTGTGTCTTATTTACATGCATTCATCGTTGCGGACCGAAGAGTCGCATAACGTAAGTATACGAACCGTAAATATCACCGTTCTAATCGCCATAAATTTTTTGTTGTTTACAAGATCGTGGAACATTTTCGTTACGCACATAACGTTTACCCCCATATCTATCGAACTCTGTTTCGTTCACGCGATTAAAACGAACACGACATAAGAAATAACCGGAGGAGTAATCCGTGTGCATATAACTGCAATTTTAAAGATCTTCAATGTCTATGTTATTCATCTTACACTATGACGTCATAAAGATATTACGAATAAAATAATATAATAAAATAATTATACATAATGATACATATATGCATATTATGTATAAAGTATATAACATTATAATATAATATATAATTAACATGGTACAAGCCACAAAATCATTCAAAAAAATAAGTGCTAATTTATTAAACAAAAAACTTTTACCATACGTTTTACTAATTATTTATGTATATATTTTTTCGCATATGGCATCACAATCGAGGATGATTAACATAGACATTCAATACCTTTAATGTTATTGGAATTGCATATATTATATCTGCACAACGCACAAGAGAATTAACTCCTCTTACAGCCATCGATATCAGTAAGTACAGATATCCCATCGTCTTTTTTTCTAAACTTGCATTACATTATTACTTCATACCCTCATCGTTCCTCATGAACGTTTCGTCTTTTTGTCTACTTATTTGTCTAAATATCTATCTATCGATTTACCTAATTGCCTAACTATTCAGCTATCTACATATCTATCTAAATAATATACGTTGCTCCCTACGTCGTTACAAAGTATTTACAAATTTTCGCGGATCACTCGTGTTTCCTTAATTCATAGGCCGTGTTATACGCAATCTGTAATACAGATCAACCATAAATAGATACACACACATACATTCTCTTTCTCTCTTTCTTTCTTTCACCATATCATGGTGTCAGCACGGCGATGGTGTGTTTTCTTCGTTATTTGTTATTTATACTTTCAATAATATAATTTCGATTTAGAAAGCTAAATTACACAATATAAAATTTCTTTCTGCCGTCGTAGCGTCAAGGCTATCGTGTAATCGTGATAGTACTTCGTCATCGGTATCTTAGATTTGTAAACTTCGAGAAATAACGCGACGATAAGCTTCTTGCGCGTTAATAACGCATATGAGGCAACGATGCGCCGTCATATTCTATTAGATATCATTCGCTGGTTCAAGGACGCTCTCCTCGCTCTAATTGATTAACGAAACGGTATTTTGTCATTTCTCGATATTAGAACACAGCGCGCAATTATCTCAATTTGTCTCAATTACGCATTATCGTGCAGTATAATATGATTAAATGATTAATATTTGATAGCAAAGTATCATTCAGAATTCTAGATTCATCGAATCAATACTGGGAAAAATAAAGTATACGATACTGGAAAGTAATTATTGTGCTGTCTAATCTTAAAAAAAAGTATGAAAAATGTTCATATTTAAAAAAAAATGAAATAAAATAAACTCAAGAACAATAATGAATAATTGCATAATATACTCTTGGTAATTTCGTGATTCATAAACGATATATATTTCTTCCCGATCAATCTTATTCTTCAAATAACGAAATATTGTTTAGACACCGAGAGAAACTAAAGCGATATTTACGTTCAATGCACAATTCAAACTTGAATATCGTAATAATCAATAATCGCGAAAGCATTTCATCGAAACAATTTTTACGTCTTTTTTATTTTTATATCTTTGACTGCGATTTTTGTTAAATAGATGTTTATAAAACTAACTAACTAACTAACTCACCGAAGCATTTTTCAAAAGAAATTCAATTGTCCTACATTACAAACCATATATTCAAGTTAATACATGTTGATTTAAATTCACAACTTGTCAATAACTATTGTCGCTTGCATAATTTCATAGCTTCAGCATATCTGCGCGTACATTACACACGCAGAGAGTGCATAAATGATATTTTTGACCCATTATTTGATATCGATACTGTTCAACAAACGCCTCAAACTTTTTCAACGTTTGCCGTGTCTCGCAAATAGTGAAAATTCAGCATCAAATGATTTATCGAGCAGGAACGATTGTCAAGTTTGTCGACGGGCCGATTATCGAGAAATCCCGTGAATCACGAATACGCGATGTAATTGCGCGTCGAACGAAATCGATTTCGACAAGGCTTGCGGTAGACATCGTCTTTTCTTAAGATGTCCCGTTTTTATACGATTATCAGTACTGCAGGTACAGCACTCGCGGGACGACTGATCGATAGTTCGCGAATTTCTAACGATCAGAGGTCAGAGACATTTACCGGGGTTCTGGGAACACCAATACGGCCACATAGACTCTGTCTTGATGCCTCTGCTGTTCAGAACTTCGATGTGCGTGGCCAATCTGGTGTAAACGTTTTCATCCGTGGAGTAACTATTCGTCGGTAAGTCACTCCTGAAAAAGATTTTTCTCGTGAAAATATTCCTTAAAAATAGCATTTTTCTACTTAATATTATTTACCATAATCGTTCAGCGAACGCTGATGCCCTGGGCCATAGTCGAGGTCCCAAGGATGATTGCCCGGTTTGTTCGTTCCAAATCGCCGCCTCGCCACCGAGCACCAGAGGCAGTTGCTGCGGCGGATAGTCTCTCCATGGACGATGATTATAGACAGTTTGCCAGGTACGATATTCGCCGCACGCGGCTTCGCCGCTTTCCCGCCACCTGCCGAAGCCGCAGTCCAGGTACCACGCGTCCACATGCGACAAGATCACGCGGAAGCCGTCTTCCAGCAGGTCTGGCGTTTCCGGCCAGTTGCTGCCACCCCAGGATTGGATGACATGGATTTTCGGGTCGAAGTACGTCATGATGTATGGCCTCTTGGTCAACGGCGAGCTCCATAAAATCACCGCCTTCGGCACCTTATCGTGATTCGCCCGGATCAATCGCTGCAGCATCTTCGCCTCGAATTCCGCCCAAAGCGCGTGATGATCCGTCATATTCTGCGCCTGCATTGCCAAGGTAATGTTGCCGTATTGCGCCCAACATTCGAGGTTTACCTCGTCGCCACCGAGATGCACCACGTCGCGCACCTCGGTGAGATCTAACAGCTCTCGGTACAGGCCCTCGAGTATCCGATACGAGTGCTCGTTTATAGGATTCAACTGGCCGCAGTTCGGCTCGCCACAATATGACGACCACGGCTGCTGGTCTACGCATAATGCTAACTCGCCGAAACCATGTTCCGCACCTGACATCATACATAAAAATATTATAGTCAACAAAAGTTAGTACTAAAGAAATGTAAAAATTCTAACAATTTTAAATCTCATAAAATTATATTAATATTCTCTCTTTCTCTGTTTTATATTTAGAAAAATTTAAGATTTTTTACTAAACTTACCCCATTGCCACCCGGCGCCGGCATGAGCCGGGGAATCGATCTCGACGACGATTCTAACGCCGCGTATCCTCGCGTAATCGGCCAGATCCTTCACATCATCGGGTGTGTAAATGTGATCGCCGCTGTAAGCGCCCCATCTCGCCATCTCCGGAAATTGCGCCGAATCGAAGGGAAAACTCTGAGAATCGGTGAGATGCCAATGAAAGGTATTGAGCTTCGTAGCCGCCATGCCGTCGATCACTCTCTTGAGCTCTTCGACAGGAAAGAATTGCCTGCCGGTGTCGACTAGGAGGCCGCGATAAGGGAATATGGGTTTGTCCTCGATAGAGGCTCGTGCGAGAACGCGAAGAGCACCCTGTTTGCCGGCTGCCTCGTCCCACCAGATCAATTGACTGAGAGTCTCGAGGCCGTGTCGCACCCCGAAATAACTTTTTCCCGTGATCCTTGCCTCCAAGATCTTCCCTTTCGATGCGAGTTCCAGCTTATACGACTCGTCGGTATCCAGAGACAGAGTGGTGCCCCGCGCATTACCGGCGCTCAGGTATATGGTGAAGGTGTCGATACCGGATCGACTTTTGGCATTCAACACCTTGATCAGACTTCTGATGTTCCCTGCCATTAAATAAACGTCTTTGAGATGTTCCAGTACACGTTTCTCTCCCGTCAGGTTTATCAATACTCACCGATGAAAACATCCTTTGCATTCTCCAGCAGATCCTTCGTCTCCTGGTCGCTCGTATTGACAGTGACGAATTCGATTTGCTGAAGATGCAGGATGATACTGTCATCACCGAGGATGATATTTCCAGTCGGTCTGGGCCACAACAGGCGAGTGTTCCCTCCGCAATGCGCGGTGCAGGTCGCCAAGGACGTCCTCGAGGATCTTACTGCTCGCCTCTCGCATCGATTTGCCACACACGCCCAGGACCATGGACTTTGAAACGTTCTACGATTATAAAAATCGAGTTTGTAAGTCGGCTCAATTTACTCGCAATATTTTACGTGATATAATGTATGTACAGGATGGCTGGTAATCTGTGTGGCACAAAAAAAAATATTCTTTGTTTTACATAAAAAATTGATTAATTTTTCTCTAAAAAGAAATCGTTTTTGTAAATTACTTCTTCTCCAAATTTTATTCATTTATTTGTTCTTCGTATCACGGATTACCAAGTAATGTAGTTATTTACTATAATCCTTTTTTTTAAATATCCAGAGTTTGCGACAAACATTTAGTTCGCAATCTCTGCAAGAAGAGTTAAAAATGATAGGTACATTCAAGAAGAAATAATATGCAGTAAAAAGTGTTATTTCCAAGCTCCATTTTGCAGGGTTAAAATACGATTAAATAATTTAGTTTATCGCGATAGATGATCGTATCCGGTTTTATAAACAGGATATTATTATTTATGTATAATAATTATTGTAGTCAACTGTATTTCACATTTAATAATTAAACCGTTGCCTCAACAGCGGTGATAATAAACAATATTTAAACGCATAAAATAAACAATAAATGCGAAGAAAAACATTAAATTATAAAATTAAGATTAAAGCTTAAAAGCATTATAAACAAATAATTAAGATAAAAAATTACAAAGTATGAAATTACAAAATTACATAGTATACATTTGTTTGTTTTTATTTTAATAAAAAGAAATGTTTTTAAAAATAATTATTTAAAGATTCAATAATAAATTAAAATGAGCACTATTTTATTATTAAATTACGTGTCATTTAATAATATATTAATCAAACAATTTCGTAGGTCGAAATTGAAAAGAAAGCGAATCTTCACAATCTTCTCATTTTGGTAAAAAAAAAAAAAAAAATCATATCCATCTTTCGCGATTCATTTTCTATTCTTGGCCAAACTGATGATACCGTAGCTCTAAGAAATGAAAAGCTACTCATTGTAATGATAAGACGAATAAGAGTACAAAAAACGATATCGTCGGGATTGTCCGAATTAGATGCTCACGAAAAGCAAAAGAGAAAGAGAGAAACGACATTCGCTGAACGAAGCGCAGGAAAATAGTTGGCTGATCATAAACGGAAAAACGTCTGCCCAAAGTTACGGAAAAATGAACAAATGCATCGTTATAGATAGCGATAGAAAACGAATGTTTCAATGAAACTCGAAAAGAAATTGCGAATAAAGCAACGATATTTTTGGTAAAGCCTTAAACTAATTATACAGAATTTTTAATGCCTACTTGTCAATGAAATTTAACAACAAAAAGTTTGCGCACCAATAACCGCGCCTTGGCTCTTATTTGCTAGTTTCACTTATTGTTAGTACATTGTTGGAAAATTTGGCTTAAATTAAATATATATGCAATTTAAGATCGCGTGTCCCAAACGGCCCATACAAATTTTCATGTTAATTTAACATAATATAGATATGTTAAATGGTGACACTAATACTACGTTAATATTTCAATACAAAAAGAATGTACAAACTTCATAGTAATTCAAAATAAATTAACCTGAAACAAAGCTTCCTCTATGAGGAAGCAAAAATGTTATTGACAGTCTGTAGTCACTCTCACTCCTATTGTAGAATAAAATCAACATTTTTGTCCGTAAATTTTAACGAATAAATCCTGTCACTAATAATATGGAACATCTATTGTAAAATTAAAAGTATGTGCACATTGTGTTATCTTTATACTTCTTTTCAGTTGTTTTAATAATTTAACATTAGAGTTCAATTAACACAACAATAATATGCTGAAAATTTAATAATGTTAAAATTTTTTAACAAGAAAACACAAATTTTCCAACAGTGTATTGTTAGTACTTTAAGCTTATATTGCTCTTACTATCGAACAATTTTTTCTCTTCTTCGCGATCTTTCAAATTTGTAGCTAAACCTACACTGTGTCTCCGAAAGTAAAAGCGAGTCGTTTTCAGAATTAAAGCTGGGAAAGTCGGGTTCGCGAAGCGGGTCGGGACAGATGCAACACAGAGCGCAAACAGTATAATCCACGGAATACGGAAAACAATGGTGCACAACAATAGCGTACGCTTAGTATGACGGACGTGTTCGGGCAAGTAGATTAAACGAATGAATGTCAGAATAAGGTGCGATGTTGCAAGAGAGGGTGAGAAGAGCAAGACTAAGGAATACACAAGAGTTCCCACGCGAAAATTCAAGACATTCGGGAATTTGTTCACGAAACGATCGACGTGTTGTAGGTCGTACCCAGGTAGCGTCTTAATTAGAAGAATGATGTCTGATTGGTATCATACAGCACGTGACTGGTTTCGAAAAAAGAAAAAAGAATATAACGAGATTATAACCCAAATATAATAAGTTTAACTTTTTAAAATTATATGTAGATGAATAATATATTTCGATATTTATACACACAGTCATTTTAAGAGTTTTATATAACATAGATAAACAGAGAGAGACAGAATATTATTAATATGTTATCTTACAAAACTTGAAAAATTCATTTTTTTTTTTCGTCAAAGATAAATGTTTTTTTTTTTCTGTAAAATTTCGAATTTAAATGCCCTTATTTCCTTAAAAATTAAAAATTTTTATTTTTAGTAACAACTTAAAATCAAGTGTATACGTATAATCATTCGATCTATTGTAATTTGATAAAAATAAAGTTCAAGATAAAATATTTTTTTTTCTAAACCAGACACGTATCCAAACAGACCAATCGAGGCAAAAGCGGAGATGAATTCGAGCTTAAGGTATCAGAAATACGCGGTACAATTCGTCTAGCTTAAAATTCCATCCCCAATCAGGAACTGTCCGTTACCTAGGCTCTTCCAGATACTCGTAAAGCCGTTCCTCAGGTCCGATGGTGGTTTCATTACCCACCAGGTAATTAACCAAACCGCGTTGCCAGTCCTCTAGTCTTCTTCGATGCGCGTTGATGATGCGAGAGAGAGAGAGGGAGTGTACGAAATAAATTCGAAATAAAAAAAACATGCAATGTAAGAAAATAATCAAAAGACACTGGGTTAATACATATCGCGGCAAATAAATCTGGTCACGCGTTAGTAGAAATTAAAGAAACACTAAAATTAAAAAGGCGTCTTTTGCGTTTCACACATGGATTTACTTATAAATCGGAATTTTTTCCAATTTTTTCCCTAAGTTTTGGTACTTTTTTTTCATAAAAAAATAATACTTATAACTTATTAAAAAGTCAGTATACATCAAAGCATGAGATAGCGGTGCCCAAAAAAAGCCGCTCACTTTCCTACATATGGACAAATGCGTTAACGGCTTATTTTACAATTAGATATAATGACTCATCCTCAGTGAAACGTCAATTATTATTTTTTTTTTTTATCCATCAAACCACCTGTTCGAAGGAGAATAAATAAAATAAATTGTAATCGGAAATTACTCACCGACGAGTCGCAAACGGCTGTAGCGATGCGAGCGGTGGAGCATGAGCGTACATGGCGATTAGCAAGACTCCGGTCATCAGGACGAGAAAGAGGAGAACCCTCCTCATCCATCCGCTGGGCATGCTACCCACCATTCTGGCGAGTCTGCAAATAAACGAAACGGGAAAAATTGCGGGTACGGTTGCTAAAACTCGCGAATCGAACGATCGCGTTAGATTGAAACGAATCTGTCGTTTCACCGCAAACGAGGCAACGATAACGATATCTCTCACACCTAAATCGTTTATCGTTTCCCCGTGGTCAGATTCCGTAAACCGGTGAGTAGGTCACGAAAGAGATTCGCACTTTGATCGACGATAAAAATGATTATATAACTTATATATAGTATATTTCTAAATATCTATAGTTCTAAGTATAAGCTCATCTGTCTGTCTCACGCATTAAGACGATTTAAATCATATAACAAATATTTTAAATAATCGGTTACGCTAAATGTTAATCAAAAATAAGAATAAATGCAAAAGAAGTTTGCACTTTTATCGGCGATAAAAATAGAAAAATATAAAAAATATTTGAAATAATCGGTTATGCTAAATGCTAATTTTATCGACGATAAAAATGCAAACTTCTTTCGCATTTATTCTCATTTTTGATTAGCATTTAACATAACCGATTATTTCAAATATTTTTTATATAGTTTAAATCGCTTTAATGCGTGAGACAGAGAGATGAGCTTATACTTAGAATTATAGATATTTAGAAATATATACAAGTTATATAATCATATTTTCTCTATTTTCATTTCAATTTAGTGATGTAATCATATTTAATGATTATTAATTAATACCTATTATACGCGAACCGTAGATACACATTCTTATTTCCGGTTACATCACGGTGTACGTGTTTTAACATTTTCTTTTTTTACATTTCAATATGACACGAAGACATAATGGCTCACATTTACTAGCGCAACAGGAATATAGATGTGTCTTCCTACTGCGGAATCCCCAGATGGTGACACGTGAGAGATAAGACGTGATTTACGTGGAAAGCGTGTCTGCATAAAGACACGGCACGGTATGTATACCTCGAGATTAGAGACCAGACGCCCGAAAGGAAATGTTTGCCGCGTATTTCCGGTGATTCTTCTGGCGCGGGGAAAACGCGTTGTTCTTTTTCATCGGGCCGACACGACGAGAAAGACGGCGGCGAAAGTGTTTCGGACGTAAATGAACGCGCGTAAAAGCGCTTGCTTTCCCGCTTTATGATCCCACGAGAATTTATGGACCTTTGCCAGGCATCGCCTTTCCAATATTATGTTACATTTCCGTCGGAAACCCAAGCAGATTTTCATCCCTCGTGATGCGATCCTCGAGACGCATCCGATGTTCCGGCTCCCTTTATCGAATGTAAATACGTTGAGGAAATTTGCGTAGATGCAATACTTCGCGGTATTTCCGGTAATCGAATTATATTGCAAATCTCTGCGATTAATAAAGATTTTAATATCGCTAAGAAATAAAAAAGTTCAAAAAAATTTCACGTTGAAATTACGTAAAATTAAATATCTAATGCGAAATAATGAAAAATATAATAAATAATTAAATAATAGATTAAATATATATCTAATTTAATATAAATGAATAATCTATCTTTCTTGATAACAGAATCAATCATTCATTGTTATTACAAACAACAATTAGAAAGGGCACAAAAAGCAATTAACAGATGTATAACATAAAGTCAAATTTGAAAAACAAAAACCACGCGACAAAATTTAATAAATTGAAGAACAAAAGATATTATATATAAGTTAATAGATCTTGAAAATTATACAAGTAAAAATTAAACTATAAAACAGAAATTAAATTATAAAATAGATCATATTTGTTATATTATATATTGTTATTATGTTATATTATACATATTATATTTTTCTCTTTATTAAAGAAATACAATCTCATTTTTTTTTTTTTTTTCAAAAAGGGTCACGTTCAATTAGCAAGTGCTACATTTCTGAGGTGACCGAGTGTTTATTTTGACCTCGCTCTCGTTGCATCGTAAAGAGAAGCTACGTCGTCGAGTGTTGCTACTTATCACGGTAAGTGATGGTGTCTAAGGACCACCTGTCGAATTGCACAGAAATACACTTTGGACGAGCCAAGCTCTAAGCTTAGCTGGTTCAGTTCTCGAAATATGAAACGCGGGCTAGACGGTACTACGGTTCTGATTACTACATAGACAACACTTGGCACCTCCGGTGCTGGGCCCCGGGGAATAGGCACTTTAGATTTCGATACCGTCGTCCGAAATGAGTCACAATGTTCTACATGCTAATTTATTCCGTCGTAATCATAAGTCTACCGCGTCGAGCATGGCAGTTATAAGAGAAGCAAGACTGGCTTTAACAATTTTCGTGCACTGTTATTTTTCATTCCGCGTGCATACCTAACGTGTTTTGCATTTAGGCAGCTCTAATGACATTCATGCACGAAGCCAAGACTGCTAAGCGAAATAGAACAGTATAAAACCCGAAAAAATCGATCGCGACTAACGGCAGATTAATCGATATCACATGACCACCAAAAAGTGGATTCAATAAACTCACGTGGTATATAAAAGGAAAAGAATGGTCACAGAAAGTTCTAATAAAAAAAAAAAATGATATATATGCTACATATTTTTTATATATAAGTATTTCTAAAATATGTAGCCTAGATAGTCGCATAGAACTAATTTTCTTCATCATAAATAATTAAGCATTGAAGGTTGAGATAAATATTGTATAAGGTGACAAGCAGAATTTTGTAATGCAACGAATTGTTATTTTTTAAAGATATTAATATATTTTAAAAAATAAAAATAAAAAAGTGTATATTAAAAATAGATATTACATGCGTTATATATATATATATCTAATTAAAAAAGATATAATAAAAAAACACTAATAAAAATTATATTTATTAAGTATAATTACTTGGATCATAAAATAATATATAATTACTTTAATAATTACTACAATAAAATAAAATAATACGAATAATATTCAACTTCACTACACATTTCGATAAATTATAATTAAGACGATTAAAAAGTCAAAATAATAGGGATGTGTGCTTTTAATTTTTCATAATTCGATTTCTCCTCGCGTTATAGGTTTCACTTTCTAAAAACAGACTTGAGAGCGACGATGCGAGAAACTAAACGATGCAAGTGCACACTGTCTATACCGCTAGACCACTGTCTACACCGCACAGATCAACTCCTCGCATAAAACCACATCAATTTTCACAACAAAAATTCAATTCGATAGAGATCGTTTGAATTTCGCACGGCACTCGCTCAGATGAAATACTATACCGTCGTGATACCTATGTGACGACATCGGGGACCACGGAGGAGAGACTGACAATCCAACACCGCACCAAACCACGTTGACCGAAATTCACTCTCACGCGAACGGGTGGTTTAACATTACCGCCGCGCCGGTACAAAAGCAGATATAAAACCTACTTTCTCTCTCTCTCTCTCTTACTCTCTATTGAGCAATGAGGGTGGTAACGGAAGAGGGTTCCAGGCGAAAGAAAGAGAGGCGCGCCGGCGAGGGTGAGTCGAGAGAGGGTGGTCGAGAGAGTGTGACGCAACGCGGACGACGAAGTCGAAGAAGGTGGGAGCGACGGCGGTCTCCGTTGTTCGTGCCTCCGGCACACGTGAACTATACCTAAATGCCGTGCCTGGCCGCGAGTCGCGTGGCGTAGCCAAGCAACGAACGTGCCATGACCGTCGCCGCCGATAGTCGCCGACGGAACGGTACTAAGGACGGACCGGACACAGAATTTGCCCGACGTAGAACGGGATCGTCGTCAACGTCTCGCCTCCCCGTGCGCGCGGTCGACGCCGCGCGTCACGCACGGCGGCGTCGCACCGTCGACGCTGTCGTCGTCGTCGTCGTGGTGATCAACTTGGACGAATGGACACCGGCGAGGATTGCCATCGATCGCCAGGGAAAACGGTATCGCAGGTGTTTGGCGAGCGACTGATCGACCAAGCCTTTGTCGTATACTGAGAAAAAGGTTGGTTTCATTTGGCAAATTAATACTTGTCACGGGACAAACAAGTATCGAGTGAAATTGAAGGGTGCGATGTAGCTAACACCTGACGGATGGATTTATCTTTTGAACAATCCGAGAAGATTAGTTTTACAGCTGAAAAATATCTAAAAATTGAAGATGAGTTAACTAGAAGCTTTTTTGAATAATTCGTGAAAAAAACTAATGTTGAATTTTTCAGAAAATCAAATTTAGATCAACTTTATTTAAGGAAAGATAAATTAGAAAAATTTAACATTGCATTCAATTGACAAAATGCTTTGTTAATTTTTTTGGTAAGTAAATGAATTAAGAAACAACGTATATTTTGCTAACTTTATTTTAGATTTATTCACTAAATCAACTAATAATTAATATTAATATTCTTTCATCGATAATATTTTCTCTTATAAGTTGACAAAATGTGTCGTTAAAATAAAGATTAAGAAATATAAAATATTAAACAGGGGTTGTTTAATAATAGCAACATTTCGTGAGAGATATCTAGTTCTAAAATAAAATAGCTGATACGATTAGATAATAAAACTACAAAATATTCAGATAAAAAATTTCAAGTAGGTGCTTTACTATCACCTTGAACACCCTATGTAAAGGTCACATTTGGCACGCTTAAAGCACCGCTATTAATATTCAGAAGGAAGGGAACTGTAAATCACCACTCGCCTAATTTAATTATGTTTATTAGAATGTAAATAATACGAATTCGAATTCACATCCTCTTAATCCTATACAAGCTCATGAGATTAGCAATGTCCAAGATCAATAACAATTAATTCTCGGACTTTAAACGGACTTCCGCTTCTCGCATTAATCACAAAATAATCGAAATACTTTAAAAAATTTGCGTACCTTATCTTTTTCATAATATCAACAAAAATATGTCAGAAATATTTATCCAGCTACTATTGCGTACGCGAACATGACATCGCATAGCAATGGTCGTCAGCATCTGTGTGTGTGTGCGACGTCGCATACATCTCCGCTTTTATAAGGATTTTAAAATTATTCTCCGTATCTCCGAAGTAACGCGTAATACCGACACATTGATGACGTCATTCTCTCGTCACAATTGTTAGATTATAAAATGATATGCTGGCGCACGTCTTGTGGCAAGTCACATCTTGCCAAGGATCCTCACGTGGCATTAAATCTCATGACATTCACGATCACGACAACCTGACGGTACTATAATTTTAACTATCGCGTTATGAAATTTATTCAAGAACCGTTTTAAATACTTGATACAATCAAATCGTTACAAGTGCGTGTACTATGTACAATGTTTGATGTCGCGGCAACAAATACGGAAGTACAATTGACACGATATTTCATACAGCGGTGTCGGATGCTTCAATTATTGAAAAACATTCTTAGCGAAAAAATGGCAGTGAATTGATTGCGAGTTTATTTATATATCTACAGTAATCGCAAGATATAGTATAACTTGGACATCATTTGCTATTCTCGTTATTGCGCGTAATAATAATTTTCGCTAATCAAAATACTGATAAACTTTGTTGACATCGTAGAATATTATCACTAAAGAGTTAAATTAAATAATCGTCTAAATGTAGACAAACAAAAATTGGAGAAAAATATGATTAATTTGAGATTATATTGTATATGATTTATTAAGATTGCTAGAGTAGTACTAAAATAAAAATGAAACCATAAAAATGAACATGAATAAAAATGAAATGAAATGAAATGGTGCGATATATAATCTAGCTATTTTTATCTTACTAATAAAAAATACAGCTAATAAGAGATAAATCTAAGTAAAAGATAAATCTAATAAAAGACGTGAGCACATAAAGAGTGATCAAAATAAACAGAATCAAACGATAAAAGATTCAAATTAAATGGAAAAAATTAGAACATAAATTTAATTTAATTTATATACATTTTATTTATTGATTCTTAAATATTTGAATAAAAATAATTTATTGAATATATCTACTAAATTACTTTCCACTAATTTGATATTAAAAAATTTAAAGTAGTAACTATGTGGTACATGTCATTCTACAATCAATTATACATTTTCATTAATTTGATCGACGAACTCGTCGCAGTAATGCTAAGTCATTTAATCAGAAGCACATGATATATTTTCTTGGCTCATATTTTTTACTTTCCAATTATAGTCGGGATTAAATTTAGTACAATATTTTTTCAGGACTAATAATTCCATAAAAAAAGCTTCAAAGCTGTAGTAAATCTCAAAACTTTATTAACGAATATTATTGAACTACTAGCTTTTGCAAATCTAACTTTACTTTTGTGCTTGCCTTTTTGCATCTTTACTTTTCACATTAATGAGAGTAATCAATAATATTTTGTCATATAGAAGAAATAATTGAAAGATGATTCAGATTTGTTTTGTGTGACCATTCGATATATATGAGAAATTCCTTTTTTTATCAAATTTTAAAAAGCGAAAATATAACTTTTGTTTCTCGTGGTTCCTCAGTGATTATATTTATTCAATAATTACAAAATTAATTTTCATTTAGCATGTTATCAACCACAAGCCCTTCGAGCGCAACATTCGCAATAGCGTATAATAATTCAATAATATCCAATCTATTTTAATTTACGACTTGACTTTCGCGATGATTCTTGCAATATTGGCGACTAATATTTCTCTCAAATCTTCAATTGCGATCGCTATAGCAGTCGTTTATAGCTCTTTCCGATCATCGAGTTTTACGAGGAAAGTTCCAAGGGTATTATCTTGTGAAGATCGACTTGGGCCGAGTCGCGAATCGTGCGCGTCCAGCAGAGTCGAGGCGTTCGATACAAAATAGAAAAAAAGGCCGACGTGGTTTTGCGTGGTCGAGGGCGAACCCACCCACAACTACAGCATCAGTAAAGGCACCCACACGTAGCTCTATATATCTATGTATAGAGCCCGTAGACTATATATGTAACGTACACGTATGTCACGTACCTTCGACGCGTCCTTTAATCGATACACGCACACAATCACGCAGAACGCTCGATGTCATATGTCCATCAGGTTTATTTAAAAGTACGATTTTGTTTGTACCACATGTTTTTGCAATTTGAAAATTTTGTTTTGTCTCACTAAGAGACAGATATATTATTCGGGAGATATATCGAAGCGCTCTAAAATATCGCGATAACGATAGTTTTGTTTATAACATGATTTTTGAACCTTGAAAGTAGACCAATTAATGGAATATTGAATCTGAAGTGAAAACATTTTTTTGATAACGCACTGTTATAGTGTACGGTGATAACAATAGTTTCGTTTGTTTTATAGTTTTGGAAATTTAGGACTTTAATTTTGTTTAATTTATAATCAATTTTATTCGATAAAGCAGTCCAGAAAAAAAAGCATTTTGATAACGCTATAAAAACAGCGTAACAATAAACAATGATATTATGATTTTCTAAATTGGAAATTATGATTTTATTTAATTGATAAGTCTATTTTAATCAGTGAAACATTGCGTGAATGTCGTGATTAGGAAACGCGCAGGTACAATATACCATAATAAAACTTAATTCAAAAAGTCTTCGTGCTCGATTAATTCAAGGTAATATTACCTTTCTTACAACTATTCGTTTTAATTAAAGCTAATTAGAAGCGACGAAGCAATTATATCGGATAATCTTTAAAATAGTGTTAATGAATTTTATTTTCATGTACGAAAATCGCAAGAGACTTGTCTTTTAAATTTTGTATGCAAATAAAGTGATATCATCAAATTTAAAAAAAATTAATCGAGCAGTCAAGATAAACGCGACTCTCCATTGCATTCCGATAAAATGCATTGAGATTGATTTTGTCAATCAAATGCACCGGTGATGTGTTAAGGAGTCAAATTTACACACGATACGAGTTAATACTAGACGTGTATAATTTTCGTTATGTACAATATATCATGTCGGGGAAACTAATTGGAGTACCGTGGCATTATGTGACAACTCCAATTAGCGTACCGCAGATAGTGCGAGCATACGCTTCCCTGTAGTTACCTGCAGTCCTCGTTTATTTACAACTCACCCTTGTGTCTTAAGAATAAATAAAAACCTCGAGAATTAACGGGTCTCGAATCTACCGAGAGCTCCGTAGAGAAGTTAAAGTATTTCATTTAAATCAGAAACTCTTGACGTGTCTTAAAATCATATGCATGTAAAATGTGCCTCGTACCTATATTAAAAAGAAACTGTCAAGATATCTTCAAGTTCTCAAGTCTAATTATTATAAAATTGAACAAATTAATGGAACTTCTTAACTCGAGAAAGACAACTTTGAGAATTTGTCGTGCAAGACCAATGATTGCGACGACAGATTTACTTAATTACTTTCTTCTCGTGAAACCTTTTATAAGTTTTTAAGAAATTTATAAATTATACATTTTAAAAAGAGTAAAATTATATATACATACATATAAATATATATATATGTATATATATAATCTTTTTATATAGTAAATCTAATTAATTTTTGTAATAGAACTCATGCCATTTGTACAGTTGAGATAATACTTCGATAATATTAATTAGTCCACTAATTACAAAGCTCATGTAATATGAAATATCTATGTGGTTTTCATTACATTATTTACTAACTTGGATACATTAGAAAAATTATATTAAAAAAGAAACAATATATATATATATAAAATCTTATTGATTAAATTAGAAGATTAGAGTCAATTAAAATAATAAAACATTAAAAACTGTAATGTCAATGTCAAACAGTATCCATTACGTGTATGAAAAAAAAATCAATTAATTTTAATTAACAAAAATGCAGTTCTTTTTCCTGGATTGTCATACTGATTATTATATAAATAAAGAATGTTTAAAGATCGCGACGTTAAAACATTACATGCGTAATACTTGAGGCTCTAGATGTTTTAGCCGACATCGATCCTACCATTAGGTGCAGTGTCTTTATAATACACCGTGTTATAAAAGTATACGATATGATGTCACGTCAACGATAACTGTCATGTCAATATGCCCGATACGAATGAAAAACGAATGATCGGCACGTACATCGACGAATGCGTAACATGAAAGTATACCGAAACAATTTGGCGAAATTGGAGACGAATGCATCCACGATCGAAGAAGTCTTGACATGTATAAATTCGTATTGTCGCCGGTGCGCAGGGACACTCCGGTGAATAATTCGAGAGTTCCGCTGGCCTTCGGAAAAGTTGCGAAAGTAATGGCACACAAAGAGAGTTTTATGTAGCTACGGCTTTAATGCGGTTAACGTCGCTAAATGTCGCTAGGTCATTACCAAGAGGAAGTGGCCCATAAGATGCGGTGGGTTTCATTTAGAAGGGGACACTACGTCACGGTGGCCGGTGTCATTGATGATTTTTTACCGTTCCCGAAAGCTATAAAATATATGCACGGAGGAAATCGTGAATAATCAAGAACATTTCTCTCCTTTCAATGGCAACATTTTAATGATGCGAGTATTCTGTAAATTTTCGCAGTTTTGTGTGAAATAATGTAAAAATCATACGGGATTTAATTAATTATTATTTCGTTATTACTAAAAAAAAAACTTGTTAAACTGTTTCCTAGTTTTTTTCGTGATTTTACAAATGCGTAGAACGTATATTGCATGAATGCTACGAGAAGCTATGAATATTATGAAGACGGTATTTTTCACAAGTATCCATAAAGATACAAATCAATATTAACGACCGATTCTCCGGATATTGTTAAGAGTCTGCCTTGGTTGCTGAACGTACTAAAGAGTGGCTTGACTTGAAGAAGTGGATCAAGAGAACGGATGCGTTACGAACGTTCCATGATTAATACAAACTCTCGGCAGACGCCTTAATACTTGGGAAACAACAATCTCTCGTATCCTTAACGCTTTGCACTCCATTTACCGTATGATTAATAATGCATAATGATACGTGTGTGTAATGATCTTCGAATCATTTATTGCCTCTTCCTATATTTCGCTATATATATTATAGATTTAATTACACAAAATATTCTATAGGAAAAAATTAATAGTAATTAAGAGTAATTAATATTAATTAAAAAATAATTAGGAACAATCTCCCATTTATATTATTATCACAAGTAATAAAAGATTAGATATGTCAATCATCTTGACATTTCAGAATTCTGCGATCCATATCGAGAAATTTCGACGACCTTGAATAATTATAAAAATGCGAAAATTCCTTTAAAATATCTAATCGTAAAATGCATGTATATAACAACTACAAAATACGGTACTACGTCGTGAGAAAATATCGCGCTCAAGTATAGCCGATGTGAGCCAAGGTCGTCGATTAGCAAGAAAGCCCGATTGAAGCGTTCGTATATACGACACTGATATCTCGTGAATTAGGAAGTAAGGAAATTGAAGAACTCATACTAGCGTAGTTATAAATAGCTTCTAAAAATATATGAAAGGGGAGGCCAGGAAAATGTCATCAAATTATCACAAATAGTTAATTATTATTATCATAGATAAAAAAAAATCATTATTTTAATTCAATAATTGTGTTGTAAATAATCGAGAATTAAAGATGAATTAAAATTTCAGAAATATAAGTCTTATACTCTTCATGAACAATTAAATTGGCAGTTAAATATTCCTCGGAAGAAATCAATTTTTTCCAAATCGAGATGTAAAAGCAATCATCTGTAAATATTTATACGAGCATAATAACATTATTTTTGAGTAAAGAGTGTTACACAATTGCAGACAATCTAAATAAAATTAACGCCGGGTCGAATATCGCGTGACATCGTGGCCTCCTCATATAATCAAGCAAGTGCATGGGTGGTTGATTAGGTTAAATGCGCACAGCTGAATAGCGGCAATTCTAGGTCCGAATGAGGCAGAAGATAATTTGCCATAACAATTGATTAGATCGATACGTGGAACAATATTGCTAATATTAAAGTGGTTGTATCTATTGAATACTATTGTTTTAATGAGATGTCAATTAGTTTTGCTTCAAGCAAAAATAGCACGATTAAATGGAAATTTTCCTCTCGATTAGATAAATAAGAATAAATAGACAGATATGTATCGAAATATTAATGTAATATGATAGATAATTGTCCATGATTATAATTATATAATGCAAATCAAAGTGCATAATTGAACATTATAATATGCAATTTAAACAATATCTATCATTGATCATTAGCCTTGTCAATTGACTTTTTTAATATACTGCCGACAATCAAAAAACAAAGCGCAAATAAAAAAATTACTGGAATAATTTAATAATATAAAGTATCGCATTATACAATATCAGAAACGTTACATATAATCACATCTCTTTTACATTAAAATTTATCGTTGATATATAGAAAACAAAAATAAAATTTGTGTCTTTCATTTATTAGATCAAAGATGCTTACGTTGCGAATTGATAGAGCCAAGTTTCTGCTCGTGCATCTTATGAAACAATTATTATATAATATTTTTTAATTAAACATATTTATATCAACATAAATTACGTCACATTTGTTCGTTTATATCATTTTGCATCATAGACTTACCTGCAATTCGGGCGATCTCGCAAACTTCCTCATCTAACGTCTTTCATTTACGCGAATCTGCAACAAACATCATACATTCCCATTATAAAGTCTGGAATAATACAATTTGCAATGATCTCATCTCTCGAATATACGATGTACGAGTTTTCATGCGGCTTTATGCGCACGTTTTCAGTATTGATTTAGACCCGGCCAAGAATTACTTAAAATTCAGTACGAGTTAGCAATGATTCTACCATCTTTATATGGGTTATACCATCTTTTATCTATGCTCTCTCTCTCTCTCTCTCTCTGCAATGACCGAAGGCATAAGTTTAATAGTCGTTATTGATTAGTTCGTCGCATAAAGGAACACATGATGTCATCGTACAACAGCAAACTATACTCATTATCGATTTAAAAAAATAAACCACGTTGAAATAAATTGAACTCCGTATCTTTTCTGATAAATTAATTTCGATTAAACAATTAATAATGTAATAATACAAATAACACAATATAAATAAACATTTATAACATTTAATATCAAACAAAAATATCTTCTCAATTTCTGTTAAATTACATTTATATTAAACTGCATCGTGTGTGTGCATAATTAATATTTCAATTGTTACTTAATTTCAGTGTTTTCAATACATTAGTATTTCATAGGGATCGTTTCCGTCTCGTAGATTGTTTCAATTAAAACAGATAAATAAGCAGCTTAAATGTATAAATGTTATAATGTTAATACGAATAAAATCGTAATTGAGTTTTATTAACAATGTATATACGCGCGAAGCAATAAATATTCCTATATAGAGTTTGACGTGCATTATCACATCCGGCTGCAGCATTCATTAATGCGCTAGGCAGAAATGCGGATACTATACTGCCAAGAAACGAAGAAAAAAAAAACAGAGTGGCGCAAAGTGGAGTAAAGGCGCGGTTGCAAGTTTTCTAGCCGTGTCTATATACAAGGTGAGTCATTTTAATCAACGCACGTTTCGTCTCTCACAAATGTGTAAAAAATACAGAAAAATTGTATCACGCGTTGTCTTGAGAATATAAGCTAAAAATATTTCTATCGTTTGTTTATGTAAGTAATGTTTATGTACTCGTTGTAAACGAATATATATAAGAGAAAAGGAAACAAAACATTCGATATATGTTTACCGATTTTAAGATGATTTTAAGTTTTACCAATGGTGTAAGAAACCAATAAATTTTAACCCTCGCGTTATAATATTGTATTTAACTCGAACTCAAATTAAATTTTAGACAAAAAATTTTAATATGCTAACATTATATTAATAAGATAATGAGAATAATTTATATTAATGATATATTTGGTTTATATATACACACACATACATATATTATACATCTGTAGAATAAATTAAAGATTTGAAATTTATTTCGAGAAAACCTTATTGAAAGTTTCTTGGATAAAGTTTAAAGTTTAAAATTCTCTTTTCCTCGATCTTTATATGCGCATGCTCGCGTAAAATACTTTAGCCACGGTCTAATAAATTAACACCAAGTGGATTATCCTTGAAATTAACTATCGTATCGGGCGGCTCAAAATGAGTATCGATCGCTGTCTGAAAGTGGAAGGACTCCCAGAGGAATATTCTCTCTGAAATATTCTGATGATATTTTTTTAATCATCGTCACAAGATAAACAAATGTAAATAGAATATTATATACGTTATTTTATCAATTTCGAAATATATTTCCGTCAGCTAGAAACTGCACTTCGTTAACGCACTTGCTCTGAAATTTGCAAAGTTTATTCAACGAAATTGAAATTCTTATAAGTAAACACTTGATGTCCTGTTATAGAGAAAATAACAATAAAAATCGCATCAAAATTAATGAACAAATTAAAAAACTAAAAATATTTCCAACGGTTCGTTATTGATGTACATCGTTGATATATTCATTGTTATATACAGAGTGTTCCAAAAACATTTCAAGCATTAACATTATATTCTAGAGATGAAAACAAAGAAAAAAAATTTAATAAACGTGGGTCCGAAAACCAACCATTAACAAATTAATTATATATAAACTAATTATATATACATATATATAACAAAATAATTGATTATTTTCTAGAATACACAAGTTGTTCTAGATTCTATATTAGATGTGTTCTAAGTAAAAAATAGATTTTTTGAATGGGTATCAAAAAATTTTATATGGGTATCATCTTTCGTTTGGCAAACAAGAAACTATAGAAATCGTTTATTTATAGATTGTGACAAGGAAACTATACGAGACGAGTTCTGACAGAGGACGAGGCTATCGGCCGAAATTCGACATGCCGGAGAAACGATGACGTGCGCGTTTCACGCGCGAGTAAACCTGCCGCCGGAAATCCGTAAAGTCAAGCGATCGCGGGGTTGTTCCTCACACTACACGTGAGTACAATGAGAAATTCAATTTGGAGCATTGGAATTCCGCGTGAATCGTATCGCGACTCGATTCCATAAAAAGGCGAGACACGCGGAATCGCATTGTCGCGACACGACGCGAAGTGATGTGACGTCCGATCCGTGGGAATTTTATCTGCTGCTACAAAAGCGCGTCGTAAAAGTATCTCTGTTTAACGGTAAGCCATCAGTAAACAAAGGCAATAATACGGATCATGGATTTTAAACAACGTCTATTGAATTGGCATTATTCCGAATCGAATTTGTTGCTTTTTACTTGTTAATTTAACGCCAGTTTAAATGCTTGTTTGAACGTCATTCTTGTCATATATGTGCGTATTCAATAATATACTAATTGTAAGATACATAAATAAAATATTTGATACATAAATTATCAACTTAGAATAAACAAACTAGAATTTAAGTCAGGCTCCAATCTTCAAAATTAAAATAAAATGTGTGCTGTCACATATTAAGCACGAAATATATGATTTTCTCCGTTTTTCCTTTAAAAAATAGTATAGCCGGTATAACAATAATATAACTGACTTCTTTTAGAGCGCGAAGAGAGAAAATTGATTGAAAAATGCTATGTGCATTCTTATACATAACTACATCTAAAAAATTACAACAGGTAAATTGAGATATAAAAGTGACAATTATGCAAGAATTATTAAAAGATAAAAATTATGCATTTCGTAAAAATAATGACGATGTTCCAGATCTGAGGTCCAATTCAACCGCAAAGATCCCCCCGAGCGATCTAATCGATCGTAATGTAAAATCGATCGTGCTCGGGGGGAACAGAAAAGAGGAATGCATCCGGTGGGTTTTTTCAAAGAGAGGCGTCTCCGGAAACGATAGACTCTTTCTCGGGACGATCAGCGGCGATCTCGGAGTAGCACGGATCGAGATTATCCTGCTCTTGATCTTTGAAGCTATCCCGACTGATAACGATTAGAGGGGGATAATTAATTTCAGCAACGCTAATTAGCCGCTATTCGATGCTATTTGCGAAGAACGGAAAGAGATGCGATTAGGATCGGCCTTATAGGACAACGATAAGAATAGGATAATGCAGAAGATAGCGGTGATGGCCGCGGTGCAAAAGGCCCATGGCTATCATAACGGCAGCAGCGTTTATGGGGATGCGACTAACGCCCTGCCGGATTATAACGACTCATCGTCGACCAGCAAAAGCGGTCGTTTCGACGCGGATCTGCATGGCAACGTTAACATTCTTCTTGGTGGGTGAGTAACAATCGCGCCGGCCAATGCTAACAGCATGGTTCGGAAAGCAAAAGATATTAAACATTTAATTCCGAATATTAATGCGCCTCTTCCATAAGTCGATTTCATTTCTGATAAGCAATCCTAATCTCTCTCAATCCCTTAATATTAATGTATTGTGGTCCGTATGTTAAATTAGATCATTGTATTCACACTCGACAAACACAATTGCCTAGATAGCTAGTGATTAAAAATTCAATGATTATTCCGAAAGATAACAGCTAAATAATAAATACATTAGAAATGGATTAAATATTGAAAAATGCGAATATTTAACTCCTCGCAACAAATTTACTATTTATATCAATGTGAAATTGATATTTCATACGAAAATAAATAAATAAATAAATCGGGTGTGAATATTAACTACATTGATACCATATATTTTTTTTCTTAAACATTTTTTTAAATATTAACCATTTGGTAAAATATTTATGAAAATATTTGAAATTTCTTTCTGACTACATTTGCGAAATATTAATAACATTGTTATATTGTTCTACAAAGTAGAATTAAATTAGATAATTGGAAGAGTTCTATTGTCATAGCATATAGTTATGTGGAAGTACAGACGAAATTAAATACGTCGTTACACATCTCCGAGTAATAAATTTTTATCACTTTAAAAATTTGAGATAACAGAGTTTACTACAAGTAAATATTAAATATAAATAATTATCGTAATTAGCAACGATGCATTATTTATTGTAGGATATACTGAAAGAGAAAGAGACAAGCTATTTGCTTTTTAAATTACTTGTCACAATAAAATTCTTCGAACGAATGTTGAAAACATGGAAATGTTGTACCAATAATCGTTCTGTTATCCTGATATCTCTCAAATTAATGTTTTGTTATCTTTCAAATTAACATCTGTTAAAGTATAAGGATATGTTCAAAGTATTTTTGCGATATACGGTTTTTTGTCCAATCGCCGCGGAAAGTTATCCGTCAGAATGTAACAGGTGTTAAAAGTAACCGTTTTATATCCAGCCGCGTTTAAAAATTTCCATCGGGTAAAATTGCACGCTCACTTTTTCACCAGTCACCTGCCCTTTATAGCAGCCTCGCTTTTTCCCACGGGCGCACGGGCACCTTTTTGCACAAAAAGCACCGTCTAAACATCGTCTATATTGGTTCGCTTTTAGCGCCATGATCAGCGGTGTGATCATGATGGTGGTGCTCATGTGCTACTGCTGTCACAAGAACGTGCGGAAGCTTCGACCGCAGGAGTACTCGCAGTATTGGAGGACCGAGCCAGACATTCATAGTCTAGAAGTCTTCACCATGGATACACACGCCATGGTGAGTGAGAATTTCTAATCGAAAGATTATTTTCATCGTAGATATTGCGAAAATTACCTCCGTCGCGAAATCACGATCTTTAATGTCAATTTTGACAAATAGGTCAGAAATAAAATTTTTATTAACTCTAAAATGATGTACTATAAATTTGATTAAATTTTCTCTACTACAAACTCTGTATTAGATTTATTTAAACATTTGTTAAAATGAAAGGAAAAAATGTGTACGTATATATAAAGAAATAATTTTAAACATATTAATATTATTGTCTCTGTGTGTAAGAGTGTGTGCGCACAGCTTCAGTTTTTATATTTCACTATATCTGCGATCTGTTATCCGTATATGCGTCTCTGACGTTTGATTCACAGTCCTCTATTTTCGGTATTAAAAATTTCCATAATGAGGTCTCGCTGGACGTTTTCCAAATTATATCCACATTTATCCCGTAACATCTCTTCCGAAAATACTTTTCACATGTCTGGGACACTTTGCGTAATGTTACATGAAGCTACTCTTAAATCATACCATCTATTCGACGTGCGCACCGCGGAATCGCTATTTCCACATACCGACCTTTTACGCAACCTCTCACAGTCGCTCACCTCTCTGTGGTCACAACACACAATTAAATAAAAATTCGCATATCTAGTAGAAACCACGCCCTCATGTTATATGTAAAAACACGCCGCGAGAACAGCGACTGGAATTGTGCACTGCAATGCGACAACGTGCATACTTCGCACCTTCGTCTTAAGAATGTCGTCAAGTTCACAGACACAATGAAATATAAAGATAAAACACAAAGAACAAGAAATAAAATATAACATTACCAATGTGTAGTAACATAACAGAAATATAAAAAATTTTTTTTTGAAATATATAAAAATATTAGAAATTATTTAATTCGTCTTAAGAAGTTCACAGACACAATGAAATATAAAGATAAAACACAAAGAACAAGAAATAAAATATAACATTACCAATGTGTAGTAACTGTAGTAACATATAAAAAATTTTTTTTTGAAATATATAAAAATATTAGAAATTATTTA